ACCCCGACTCGTGAAACTGGGGCCCGACTCGACCAGCGCAGGCCCGCAAACACTGCGGCCGCAACACCCTCTGGAGAACCGAACCGGACAATCGACAGTCGACATGGTAGGGTGTTGTTCTGTTACTCCAGATTTCGTAATAAAGAGAGGGGGGTCTCATTTCGGGGGGGGGTCTCTTCTAGGCTATCTTGGAGGGCCTGGGGTGTCTGGGGACGATGTTTTGGAGGGTTCTCCCACGGGGGAGGTCTGAAATGACTTGTCTTGGAGGGTCCAGACCCCCTCCCTTTTATTACGAAATCTGGAGTACCAACTTTTCTGGTAATCCCACTGATCCGGGCTGCCCGAGGCCACTTCGCCGCCCGACCCGAGGCGGAGGCGTCCGGTATCCTCCAGTCGTGTAAACCAAACAACGTGGCAACTACAGCCATCGTGCTGCCAAAAGGAGCGCGGAATCCGCCGACCCCCACTTGCCAGGGGAGAGAAGGCGCGAGGTGGCTGGCTGTCCCCCTTCCCCCTCCCCTTTTCCCCACGCTGGCGCAAAAACTTGCATTAGAGAGGAGGGGCCAGGGGGGGGACGAGGGCCGGGGGGGTTGTGTGGCAGACGAGCTCGTGAACCCACCCAAGGAACTGTCCAGAGCCTCGAACGAGCACTCACATGGCCCAATGAGCGACGAGACAATCCAAGAGAGCGTCGAGACGGCCCCAAAAACGCCGCGACGGTCCAATATGGCGTCAAGACGGTCTACGAGGCCCCCAAGACGACCCAAGAGTGCTGCCAATGGGCCGCGGAGAGGACCCCAAGATGCAAATATCGTTTCATTCCCCTTGCCATCGCTCGGACCCCCATTCCCCCTGCATCTTTCGGTTTCGCGCGTGCATTTTTTGCAAGATGCCCCAAGATGATCTAGATGGTCCTCGCCGAGAAACGTGCACACGTCCGAGCGATGCAAAGTCCCTCTGGAAAACGTACGTTTTCGACATGCACGCCTTCTTCGTCTTGACAGCGTCCACTACGGCCCCATGAATCCCCAAGAACGTCCCAAGACGGCCCATGAGGCCTCGAAGAGGACCCAAGTCCCAAGAGGGCCCAAGAGGACTTCAAGACGGCCCCAAGGTCCCTAAGACGGCCCAGGAGGGCCCAAGAGGCGGCCAAGGGGGCAATACGGACTGACACCTCGAAAGAGGCCCAGCCCCAAAAGACACAAAGGCCCCCTGTGACTCCGAGGCGCTCTTAAGAGGCTCCAAGAGGCTTCCAAGAGGTCCCCAAGGCCCCCAAAGCCAATAAGATGCCGCCAAGAGCCCTTCAAGAGGCCCGTGAGAGGCATTCCAGGATACCCTCATACGCATCCCCGAGGCTCCTGACCGACAGATCAGGCATGGTGGCATGACTCTTGACGGATTCACTCTGATGAGGATCGGCGGACTGGCGTTCTCGTTTTGACAAGTAACGACGACGCTCAACACGTATGTAGATTAGTGCTGCCCGGAGCTCACGAGACCAATGCCCGGGGCGTGCACGGACGGTGCTGAGGCAGAGATGGATGAGGTGGAGATCCGAATGACACACCCACTGCCAAAAAGACACAGCAAGACACGGAACGACGCAGAGAATCGAAGACGGCGGCACCGAAAGAAGAACGCTGCGCACGGCTGAGCAGGTCTACTCCGGATCCCATAATAAAGTAGGGGGGGTCACATTTTTGGGGGGGGGGTCTGATTTGAGCTGTCTTGGAAGGTTAGGGGGAGTCTGGGCAAAGTGCCGCCCTTTCATGGATGGTCTGGGGGGGGTCTAAAACTTGTGGTCTGGAAGGATTGTGACCCCCTCCCTTTTATTACGAAACCTGGAGTAGCCACTCCCGCAGCAGCAACAAATCGGATCCCCGCCCTGGAGCCGAGGGGAACGGCCCCGAGAACCGGAGCCCCTCAAGGAGAGCCCACGGCGGTCGTCGGCTCCGCGTCCTGGACGTACGGTGCTCATCTGACTCGCGCGCGCGAGGCCGCCCCAACTGAAGGGGCCCCAGGACACACAAATAAACACACACAAATAAAAATATGCCACATATTTTCATATATTTTCTGGCTTTTTGTCTTCCCCCCCACTTCCAATATTTCCCCATCTTTTCCTGGGGATCGACGATTCATTGAGTCTGTGTGTTTCTTTCCCTCCTGACCAAAGGGCCCTGCCAGAGAACCTCGGGGCCGACCCGGGACGCGGCCGGGGAGTCAGTGTGCGTCAACCCTCGCCAGGGAGGACTTGTCGTGCCTCCAGCATGGGCAAACAAATGCTGGGGAGTCCAAAGGGTACCGGCACCGCTGCTCCCCAGACCTCTCCCAGGGTGCGTTCTGACCAGAATTTCGAGGCGAATCCAGCGGTGGCGACGAGGGCCTCCGAGGAGGCCCCAAAAAGGGGAAAACGGGCGGAGGGGTAGAAATATGGGTCCCCGGATGTCCCCGGATGTCTGCAAGAGGGCCACTGTCAGGGGGAGCTTCTTGAGCTGCCTCTTTGGAGTCTCCGTGGGCTTTCTCTGCGGCCCTGGGAGCCTCGCCTCTGCCCCTTCGGAACCATCGTCGGGGCCGTCCTCGAGTCAGGTCGGGCACGTCCCCCTACAGGCAGATTTTGGAGGAACAAGTTAAAATAGTCAAAACAACCTCCCAAATAGTCAATGAATAAAAAACAAATCGCCCCCTGACTTTTACTATTTTTGAATATTCCCCTTCTAGAGGGACGTGCCGGACTGAACCTCAGAGCCCCCTTGGCAGGCTCGTGGTCTGACCAGAAAAACATGATCCCGGCAAAGCAACCTAACAGCGATATGTAGGAGCATATCTGGAAGCATTCCCCTTACGATTCAGATGAGAATCCTGTTGTAGAATTCTGCTGTTCTCGCAGTCGTAGTCGCATTTGCGAAGGCAGTCGCAGTGGCAACGGCAGTCGCAGTCACAGCCTCAGCCTCAGCCTGCCTCAGCCTCAGCCTGAAGCCTGCCTCAGCCTCAGCCTGCCTCAGCCTCAGCCTCAGCCTGCTTCAGCCTCAACATCAGTCTGCCTTCAGCCTCGGCCTCAGCCTCAGCCTGCCTCAGCCTCACCCTGCATCAGCCTCAGCCTCAGCCTCAGCCTGCCTCAGCCTCAGCCTGCCTCAGCCTCAGCCTCAGCCTGCCTCAGCCTCAGCCTCAGCCTGCTTCAGCCTCAGCCTCAGTCTGCCTTCAGCCTCGGCCTCAGCCTCAGCCTGCCTCAGCCTCAGCCTGCATCAGCCTCAGCCTCAGCCTCAGCCTGCCTCAGCATCAGCCTCAGCCTCAGCCTCAGCCTCAGCCTGCCTCAGCCTCAGCCTCAGCCTGCTTCAGCCTCAGCCTCAGTCTGCCTTCAGCCTCGGCCAGCCTCAGCCTCAGCCTGCCTGCCTCAGCCTCAGCCTCAGCCTGCCTCAGCATCAGCCTGCCTCAGCCTCAGCCTCAGCCTGCCTCAGCCTCAGCCTCAGCCTGCTTCAGCCTCAGCCTCAGTCTGCCTTCAGCCTCGGCCTCAGCCTCAGCCTGCCTCAGCCTCAGCCTGCATCAGCCTCAGCCTCAGCCTCAGCCTGCCTCAGCATCAGCCTGCCTCAGCCTCAGCCTCAGCCTGCCTCTGCCTCAGCCTCAGCCTGCTTCAGCCTCAGCCTCAGTCTGCCTTCAGCCTCGGCCTCAGCCTCAGCCTGCCTCAGCCTCAGCCTGCATCAGCCTCAGCCTCAGCCTCAGCCTGCCTCAGCATCAGCCTGCCTCAGCCTCAGCCTCAGCCTGCCTCAGCCTCAGCCTCAGCCTGCCTCAGCCTCAGCCTCAGCCTCAGCCTCAGCCTGCCTCAGCCTCAGCCTCAGCCTCAGCCTCAGCCTCAGCCTCAGCCTCAGCCTCAGCCTCAGCCTCAGCCTCAGCCTCAGCCTCAGCCTCATCAGCCTCAGCCTCAGCCTCAGCCTCAGGCCTCAGCCTCAGCCTCAGCCTCAGCCTCAGCCTCAGCCTGCCTCAGCCTCAGCCTCAGCCTCAGCCTCAGCCTCAGCCTCAGCCTGCCTCAGCCTCAGCCTCAGCCTGCTTCAGCCTCAGCCTCAGTCTGCCTTCAGCCTTCAGCCTCAGCCTGCCTCAGCCTCAGCCTGCCTCAGCCTCAGCATCAGCCTGCCTCAGCATTCAAAATGTGGCCCGGGAATGGAGTTTTGGGAACTCGAAGACCACGAAAAATTGTGGTCGCCCGGGAATGGAGTTCTGGGAACTCGAAGACCACGAAGTGGCCTACAGTTGGCTCCGGGCATTCAAAATGTGGCCCGGGAATGGAGTTCTGGGAACTAGAAGACCACGAAGTGGCCTACAGTTGGCTCCGGGCATTCAAAATGTGGCCCGGGAATGGAGTTCTGGGACCTCGAAGACCACGAAGTGTGTAACTGTTGGCTTAAAACAAATCCCCGGCACCCTCCCCCGGATCGCGCCCAGACCCCCCTGGGGCGTCATGATGCTCTCTTTTGACCCTACTGGAAACCTATCAGTCTTCGCTGTTAGGTAATAACTGCCCCCAATACCGACTTCACGATGGAAGCGACAAGCATATCACGCACAAGGATTTCTGTGGGCGTCAGTCATGGACATGAAAACACTGAGCAGACAGACGCTGCACACTCAACAGAGCACGAAGACACAACTTTGCGAAACAATTAAATCCAGATGGGATGGTATGACGATGCGGGGACTGTCAAACGCAAACATGGTCAGGCAACACATTTGTACTCCCACGCTGCCAAAAAACTATGGCACACGTAACTACGCAAGTCGTACATGCTTACTGCTTACTGGCCAACCCCACAACTTCCAACAATGGTTGCAACACTGCATCCGTATGCCTGCTGCTCCGGAATGATTCACCGAATTCGCACAGCTCCATACATGAAGGCATTCGGCATTCCTACCAACGGTGACCATCTGTCTTTACAACGTCGGGGGGCTGTGGAACAGACCAACAGCGTCATCCGACCAGTGAAACTGTGTCTAGGCAAAGGGTGTCACTGAAATGTACACTCGCTACCCCAAGCGGTACAGAAGTTTGACCCCCGCTTGTCGTTCAAGTCCTGATGAGGGTTCAAAGAAGAAAGTTCAAAGAAGAAACACTATCAGAGGAAATGGAGCCTGGATGACACGAGACAAGACAGGACGGCAGGCGATGTGGCAAGATATATGTTATGATGGAGAAAGATATGACAGAACCGAGGTGCACGCCAAACCATGGCCACGACAATGACGAACGTGCTGAACGACGAATGTGAAATTCTTCCCCACCTCACGCTTGGGGGGGGAGCAGGGAATGGTAATAATGACGGCGGCTGCGGCGCGGTAGCCCACAAAATGCGTGACCCTTGCAACGCTACGCGATGCCTGCGAAGATGGCACGAATGATGAGCGGTAGTATGCTGGACCAGCATTCCTCACAAGAATGCTCGCAACCGCCATGTCTGTGAACAACATCAACGCGTGCCTGTGAACGGAGTAAGGGCGTGACCGTTGCAGGGAGGGGGATTGGGATTCGTGGGTAACATGGGTTAGACCGGGGCCCGATACAAAACAGTCACGTGTGACTCATGTGTAGTTAAATGTGGCACATATGTATCTCACATGCAGCCATGAACACTCGTACGTGTAGTTCCGAGTGCGGTTCAGTCATGGTGCATGCGTGGTTCGGGTGTGGCTTCGGTGGGCATCAAGCGCGCTTCACGCAGGGTTTCAGGTAAAGTTCAGTCGCGGCTCAAGCTTCCAACTGCAGTGAACACCTCTGACGCGTATATGTCAAGTGTGGTTCAGCCATCGTTCAGGCGGGGTTCAGGCGAGGCTTAGGTGTGGTTGAGGTGTGCTTCAGGTGAAGCCCAATTATCTCATACAAGTAACACCTCTTGCACATGTTGGTCAAGTGAGGTGTTGCCGTGGTGCAGGCGTAGCTCAACTGTGATACATGTTTGAATCAGGCGCGTCTCAGGTGCGGCTCATTTCATAATATCTTCAATATCTTAGCGCGCTGTTCTTCCGACTCTTTGAGGTCGTATCTCTACTGACCCCTTTCTGCCCCTTCAAGGAGGGGTCTATCAATGTTCCCTATTCATATACACCACCTCTCCCGTCCGACCAACGACCAACCCAGAATCATGCCAACCCCATGAGGACCATCCCCCCACCGTCCCTGTCAAAAAAAACAAAACCAAACGCACTCCGCCTCCACATTTGGAGCATTTCATGCCAAGAGATCCCACCTGTCTTCTGGGCGCAGGTGGTCGACGGACTGGTTTGACACATGATGGCTGCTGCCTTTTCGCCTTACCGTTTCCGATGGGATTTCGAAATCTCCACATGGCTCAAAATTTGCCCAGAAAGCTCAAAGCCTGGCCCAAGAGCCCCTATTGGTTCCCAGTAGCTGGCGCAAATGGCGCGGCTGGAGCACGTGGAACACTGGGCTTACGTGGAGCACGTGCCGCACCTGGCGCGTCTGGCACACTTGGGCCTCCAGGGTCTGGTGCGTCTGGAACCCGTGGCGTCTGCGGCGTTCTTACGCGATATGCTGACTCCCGGGTGTTACGTATGTGTTGGGAAGGCGGGTGGGAGTGAGCAAGACGGCTTGCGGGCGGGTGGGAAGCTTGACCCCTCCCCCTACCCTACGCCCCCCCTACCCCGCGCCACAAGACTCCCCCACTCGCCTAGGCCATGATATTTGAATAAGCGGCAGACCAGCGGGCCTGTTGGGCGCCTCTGGGAGGCTTATTGGAAGCCTCCTGGGGCCTCTAAGAGCACTGTTGGACGTGTCTTGGGGAACTCTCGGGGGCTTCGTGGGGGCCGCTGAGGGGGCCACATGGTGGCCTCTTGGCGGCCTCTTTCCTGGCGGCCGCTTGGTCCCAAACGAAGGCACACAACGCTATGCTCATGGTGTCCTCAGCTGGCCTTCTCGAAACATGGAAGGATATGGAACCTTCGTGGAGCCCTCTTTCGGCGGTGGACAAACCTCCCTTTAGTAAACCTCCCCTGAGTGAACACTGCCTGGGACCGAAACCGACGGACCTGGACCCGCAAAATGAGGGCCGCGACGCCCCCTCGCGAACCGAAGACTGCCACTTCCTTAGCCGACGTGTCAGGGTAGGAGGTCTAGCCACCCTCCGAAGGATATGGAGCCTTCGTGGAGCCCTCTTGGGCCCGTCTCGGGGGCGCGGCGCCGTCGGAGCCTCGGGGGGCCGCCTTTGGGCCCTTCCGGGGCCCCATGTCAGTGGGCCTCGAGCGCCTCTAGGACGCGCGTGCAACCAAAACGGCAAGCGTGCCGAATATCATCTGAAGTTGCCTGGAGAAGCGGGGCGATTGTCTGCCTCTTGGTTTTCTCTCGGAGGTCCTCTTTGGACGCCCGAGATGGGTACGGAAAATGTGCACAAAGCCCCACAACAGAGGTTGTCCAAAACCGACAGCGGCCACTGTTGGGCAGGCGGCCTTGTGCCTTCAAAGAAGAACGTCCGCGGCGGCGCGGACAGCAGCGCGTCCTGTTCAAACTGCACAGAACATGCTGTTGGGCATCGTGCCCGTTCTTTCCGTATCCATTTCGATCGTCCCGATCCTCGTGGAGCCCTCTTTTGGAGGCCTGGAAATGGGCACCAACACCAAAACGAGGGGCTGCCTCCATAGTGGGAAGATGATCCTACATTTCGGTGTTGGTGGTCATATTTCGGTCACCTTGGAAGCCAGAATATTACCACTGTCATCGAGATCGGGATCTTCTTGAGGAACACCGCCGATATTGGTGTTGGTGTCAACCTCTAAGCCTGCGACTCTTGGGTCGTCTTGGGGGCCTCTGGGGCCGTCCTGAAGCCATCTTCGGCGCCTCGGAGCGGCCTTGGACAGCCCCGGGAAACACGCCTCTTGGGACTCCCTTTGGGAGGCCTCTCTGGGCAGTCAGGGAGCGCGGGCATTCTCCGCACGCCTCCGGCCCCGTGCCCGACCGGGGACTGGAAGTGGGGTTCGCTCGCCCTATTCGGGAAGTCCCTCCTCCTGGGCCTTCGATGCCTAGTGGTTTTCGGTCTGGCGGTAATTCAGGGCAATCTGCCCCCCCCCCCCCCCCGGAAAGCTCTCTGCGAGGCGCAGCTGCCTGAAGAAACCCCGAGGCCAGAAAACCTCCAAAAGGCAACGACAGCTTCCTCCCCCTTCCCTTTCGTGCCCCCCTTTGAAGCTCCCGATTGGAGAAGGCGCGCTTCCTTTCCCACCTTGAGCAAAGACCAACCGTCCCGGCATTCCTGTAGGCCTACAACGACATTCTCAAAGAACCCAAACACTCTGGTAACACAAGCAGTGCTCTTCGACCATAACACCGATGTATGAAGACAAGACGGTCTCAGCAAAAAACGTTCTGCGAACAGTGCGCGCAAACCACAAGAAGGTCTCAAAACAGTATTTAGTGGGCCTACAATGCGGGCGCGGTCGCAAGAAACCCTCGCAGAAACCCGACCCTGAAAACCCGCACGCGAGGTGCAACTGAGGGGAAACCTGGAACACCCTGAACGCAGCAGCTCCTTGGACGGCCGCGGGAAGTCACCGCGCAGCGCGCGGAGAGAAGAAACCCAGGGTACCCTGACGAACCGCACATGGTTTTTCGATGCGCGCCGCTGCCTCTGCTTGACCCACGGGCGGAACGAGAAACGCGCGCCAGGTCCTGATCATCCCATGCTCCTGGCCAACTGCCGCCTCCCAGCCGGCTGCCGCCCGCCTCCGGCGCGAGGGGGGCCGAGGGCCAGCGCACCGTTTCGCGACAGGCTGACTGGGACACTACTCCTCCTCATCCTCCTTTTCCTCCTCCTCCTCCTCCTCCTCCTCGTCCTCGTCCTCGTTCTCCTCCTCCTCCTCCTCCTGCTCCTCCTCCTCCTCCTCCTCCTCCTCCTCCTCCTCCTGCTCCTCCTCATGCTCCTCCTCCTCCTCCCCTCTTCCTCCTCCTTGTTCCTTGGTCCTAGTGGCAGGAGTGCCGTCAGACGCTGCCGCTTCCCCCAGGGCTGGCCAAAAACTTGCCCTGCGAGAAAATAATATATAAGTAGAAAGGAGCGGCGGGTGCCACTGTCCGTGGACGGTGGCCGGCCACACTCGCCAAGTGGGAAAGCAAAGGGCCTCTCCCCCTGTACATGGAAAGTCCCCCGAAGTGACCCCCGCCCCCGCGACTGTTACCCCCCCTGCCAGCAGGAGTACGGTACCCAGACCGCGGCAGTGGGGGATTTTCGCCGCGCTTGGAGGGGGCTTCTGCCTTCCACGGCGGCGTCACGGTGGCAGTGTGCTCGTCTTCCTCCTCCTCCTCCCCCTGCTCCAGGCTCTTGGTGCTTTCTGAAATTTGTTACGGGTGAACCGTCACCTTCGGGGTTCTGCGGTGGCCCATGTCTGGGTCATCGGTGCCACCTCGGCGAAGGTGAAACGTGTGGCCGAATATGCATACGCGATGGCGGACACCAGTGGATCCCACTTCGGCCCTCTGCGCGAGAGCGAGGGTCACGGTCGGGAGAGGCTGCAGGGCAAGCCGCGCAGCCCAAGTCCCGCGGCCGCTCTCTCGCCGCTGGCGCCGTGAGCCGCGCTGCCAGGGAGTCTCTGGGCGGGCCCGGGGGAGAGGTGGAAGGGTGCGCGGAGGGGCGAGGGGGGCCCCCCGGGGGACGGCCGCAGGGATGGCAGAGCCGGGGGGGGGAGTCCGAGGATGCTGACAGGGGAGCGGGCGTGAGAATGGCGGTAGCGCCGGCGAGGTGCCGGTCACGCGTGAGCGAACGGAAGGGGGGGGAGGTAGGGCGAGGTGGCGCACGGTTCCCATGCCTCCGGCCATTGACTTACAAAAGTGGCGGCTCACCACCTCGTTCGTCGTGAGGGCCGTGCCGTCGGGTGGGAGTGGGGGGCCGTCGGTCTGAGCAGAAGGGTCGCAGTGGCCTTCGTGGGGGCCGTGGGGTGGGCGTGACGGGATCCCCCCACGCTCCCCCCCCCTCTCCTCGCGCCCCTCTTCCCTCCTCCCCCTCTGTGCCTTGGGAAAAAACGGAGGACAGTACTGTAACACTGTAACAGTCCTGTAACTTATAACACTTACAGGACTGTTCTGGGTGCGAAAAGGCCCATGCAAACACCCTGGCGGCTCCCCCGTGTGAGTGCTGAAACCACAGCCTCGCCTGAGACACCCTCGCACTCTGCGAATCAGAGTGTGAACTGTTCTGAAAATGGGTGAGGATGAGTACGAGGGCGAGCGAGTCTGAGTGTGAGAGAGTGCGAGTACGAATGGGCTGGGTGCGGGTATGAAGTGATTTTGGGTAAGTCTGGGTGTGGGTAAGTATGGGTGTGTGGAAGACACTGGACGTTGGGTCTGCCTGAGTATGAGCCGAAAGAGGAGTCGGAAGAGGAGGGGAAAGGGGTGAAGGAGTCGGCGGCCTCTGAGTTACAAGCAGAACCTTATCTTTGGATATGGGGAAAACGATACCTCCGCATCCCGAATCTCCAAGACGGCCAAGGCAGGCAACCAAAGCAGCCAAGACAAACCAAGATGCCTCGAAGACGGACCAGGGTGGCCCTAGGCGGCCGAAGATGGCTTCAGGGCAGCCCAGGACGCCTCCACCAGGGCTCGAACGGGCCCAGGGGAAACCAACCGTTTTAACAGGATAGGAACAAAAACCTAACTTCTGTGTTTCCCAGCATGGGTTTTAACGATGCCAGCATTGCCGCCTTTTTCCGGTGTCCGTCGACTCAAGACTGCCTTAGAAACTCGGGCCGGGCGAAAGAGGGGATAGCAAAAGGGGAGGTTGAGAATCAGCTCACGTAGCTGATTTTCCCGGCGCCTCCCGGCGCAGGGAGGCGCCCATGTATCGAGGAATGGGCCCCTCGGTGGGGCCGAAACCAGCTGCATGCAGCAGATTTCGTACCCCCCCCCTCTCCCAATCCCCCCCTCTGTCGTCCGGCCCGAGACGCCTCCGCGGTTTTGGACACCCGAGGTGGGTACCGAAAGAATGGGTACAATGCCCAACAACAAATGTTGCCCCAAACCAACAGCGGCCGCTGTTGAGCAGGCGGCCTTCTGTCTCGAATGGACACAAGCACCGGCGGCGTGGACAGCGAGTCCTGCTCAGAATGAGCAGGAACTGCTGCTGGGCATCGTACCCATTCTTTCCGTGCCCATTTCGCTCGTGCCGAATCTCGTACCCCCCCCCCTTTCCCAATCCCCCCCTTTCGTCCGGCCAGAGAAGCCTCCGCAGTGGCTTCACCGCGGTGCAAAAAAAGCACCCGCGGGGGCCCAAGAGCCGCTCCGAGCGGCCTCCCGACCGCCCGGGCGGGCCGCCCGCGGCACCAAAAAGGCCGGCCTCGGGAGGCCCCCGGCACTGCCCACGGCGGCCCCCAGGCACTCGCCATGCATTAAGGGGCCCTGGGACACACAAATAAATACACACAAATAAAAAGATTCTCCATATTTTCCTATATTTTCTGGGTTTTTGTCTTCCCCCCCATTTCCCATATTTTCCCATATTTTCTGGGAAATCGACGATTAATTGTGTCTGTGTGTTTCTTTCCCTCCTGAATGCAGTCGGGGCGTTGACCTAAGGAACCCTAAATGAGGAACGAGGCCCCTCTTCTCCATAAGTTGACCTTCGATTTCCGGTCGAAGACATGAGGAAAGCCTATGAGGCAAGCCGTGAAACACTGAAGGAACGCGGAGCCCCTCCCCAACGAAAAGGGTTCCTTCTTCAGGGCCCCGACTGTACCAGTACCTATACGACCACCCTTCGGGTGATAAGGAGGTTCGGGGGGGGGGGAAACCAACGTCTCACTCGATCGGTCTCACCATCGATCTCACTGTCGGTCTCGCTCGATCGATCTCCCCCCCTCACCTCCGACTGCCAAGCGGGCCCAGAGACGGCCGAAGAGAGCCACCAAACGGCCCAGGGAGGGCCGCGAGACGGCCCAACAAGTGCCCAAGGGACCCCCCCAGACTGCCCCACAGGAGGCCAAGACAGCGACAACACGGCCCGAACTAGTTCCAGGAGAACCCCGCGATAGCGAAAACGAAACGTGTCACAAGCGATAGCCTTCGTCTGTCTCCTTTCTTTATGGCACTGATTTTCTTTATTTTTCTTCCTCATCCTCGTCCCCCCGTCCTCCTTGTTTCTCCTCAGTGTACTCCTCCTCCTCCTGCTCCTTGTCTTCCTCCTGCTCCTCCTGCTCCTGCTCCTGCTCCTCCTCCTCCACATGATCCTCATCGTCGCCATAAACATCATTAACAAAAACAAGCTCTATACACCGACGCTTTTCCCGCCCCTCCCCCCACTGAAACTCCCCCAAGAAAATGGATCCTGGTGTATGCGGGATCTTGGTGTATACATGTTGCTGTGTTTCCCTGGGAGAGCGGGAAAACAAGATACACGAGACCACCACGACGTCGCCCCCGACCCGCCCAAACTCCTTGTTTTGAACAACAACCCGCCACTGGTAATGTAGTTATATGTTCCAGTTTCCGACAGCATCATAAACGCCATCATCATCATCGGTGCCACCACAATCAGCACAGCTGCTCATGAGGACCAGGATGAGGAGGATGATGATGATGAGGAGGCGGATGAGGAGGATTACGATGAGAATAAGGGTGAGACGAGGGAGAGGATGATGAGGTGCAGGATGAGGATGATGATGAGACTGGTGATGATGATAATGATGATGATACTGACAATGACGATGATGACGATGATGATGATGATGACGATGATGATGGTGATGATGGTGATGATGGTGACGACCATGATGGTGATGCTGATGATGATTGTGATGACGATGACGATGACGACGACGACGACGGCAAGGTGTATAGGAATGTCGAGGGAAGAGCAGGAATGCCCAGGAATGTCTGCGGATGCGTAGAACTGCCTAGGACTCTCTAAGGTTGCGTAGCCCTGTGTAGGGTTATAACCGAGTAAATTTCAATGCCAAGAAATGCGCAGGAGGGATTTAAACCATGTCCAGGGAGATTCAAGAGTGCGTCAACATGCTGGAGGAATGCCCAGGGATGCGAGGTATATGTCGGGATATTTCAAGGATCGTGTCCAAACGTCTCCAGACTTCAAGGGACATGAAAACATCCCAAGGAGTGCTTAGAAATGTGCCCGAATATCTGGGAATGCCTAAGGATGTCTGGGAATGTCTACGTACGTCTAGGCGAGTCTAGAATGTCGAGAGATGTATCTGGAGTTCTGGAGCTCCCCTACAATAAATCAGCATATTCCAGAATGTCTGAGGATGTCTGAGCTATCTAAGGGTGTGTATGCCCCTCGAAAAATGTATGAGGTGGTGGCGACATATTGATGCATGGGAGCGAATATGTGTTTCTACCTCTCGGCGACGGAGTCTTAGATGCCCTCTTGAGCAAAGGTGCGACCTTCTTAGACCGTCTTGGAAACGTGTTGGCCGTCTTGGAACCGTCTTGGGCCGTCTTGAGGCCGTCTTGGGGCTATCTTGGGCCGGCCTGGAGGCTGCCTTGGCGTACCTCGTCAGATCGTATCACGCTTTGCGGTGTCTCGTTCTGTCTAATCTGGCCTCCACTCGTCTTGTCTGGCTGTCTGGGCCGTCTCGACGCGTCTTGGACCAGCCCTCATCGAGGAGGGACTCTAAGCATGATGATGGCTGTGATGATGATGACGATGATGATAACGATGGTGGTGGCGGTAGTACTTCAATCCCTTTCGGGATGAACGCGGCTTTGATGCAAACCCTGCT